AATAATAATAATAATAATAATAATAATAATAATAATAATAATAATAATAATAATAATAATAATAATAATAATAATAATTTATTGTCATTGTAAGTATATACACATACAACGAAATTCACAGACACCCAGAGACCAGACACATGCACACACAAAAAACTAATCTTATATTAGTTTTTGACTCCAAAAAATGTCAGTCCTACCTTAAGAATGCATGCTTTCAGGCAGTTTTCTCCATATAAGAAGCACATTTAAGCGAGTTAAAATAGGAAATATTTTAGAGAAAAACAGTGATACCTGAGCTGCTTGCTGCTTTTGCTAGAGAATTGTCTCAGAACTGGTTATATCAGTGGCTTTTAGTCCTGCAAGCAACAAATGTTCAGTTTAGTTCAATCTGTAAACTGCTTGATGGTGCATTTTTTAAAATTCTCACAGCATGTACAAAAAAATCCAGGGCACCTTGGTTCATTTCCCTTCCCTTATCCCTGTTTTTGGTAAGAAACTTGAACTTGATAACCCTGTCGTTCTGAAGATAAAAAAGAATTTAGATTTTGATAAGGACCTTATTTTGTATTAATATCATATTGCTAAGAAAGGTGTTTTACACATAATTGCTCAATTTTGCACAAAATTGAGCAATATGTGCAATTATGCAAATTGTTCAAACCAGTTTCATCAGTGCTTTGTTTTAGAATTTAAAGCACTGGATGGATTATTTGTGTCTTTCTTAATATTCAGCCTGTTTTCATTTGCTTGCTGTGTGCACATGTGTGTGCATACATGTGTGTGCACACATGTGCAAACTTTACTTCTTAAAAGAAAAGAACAGTAGAACCATTTTGTTGAAATTACTTGTGCAGGGGGGCAGGAGAGCTTTTGCTTGGAAGGATGCAAACTCATGAGGCTTTAATATTCCTCACTGAGGTATCTTAAAGTACAGTATCAATTTTTCAAGTGCCTTAATATAGTATTTACTTGAAATTTTCATTTCATATCATAGAATCATAGAAACGTGAAGTTGGAAAGGGCCTACAAGGCCATCAAGTCCTACCCTCTGCCCAATGCAGGAATGCAATCAAAGCATATCTGCCTCTAATTTTTTCTTGAATGACTCCAGTGTTGGAGTGCTCACCAACTCCTGAGGTAACTGGTTCCACTGTCGTACTGCTCTAACAGTTAGGATGTTTTTCCTGATATTCAACCAAAATCTGGCTTCCTTTAACTTGAGCCCATTGTTGCGTGTCCTGCACTTTGGGATGATCGGGAACAGATCCTGCCCCGTCTGTCTGTCTGTCTGTCTAGCTTATATGCCACCCACTCTACCCAAAGGTCTCTGGTTATGACACCCTTTCAAATATTTAAAAAGTGCTATCGTATCTCCCCTCAATCTTCTTTTCCCAAGGCTAAACATACCTAATTCTTTTTCAAATGTTATGCAGAAGATTTTTTTTTAAAAAAATATTATGGTGCTTATATTTGTACTTGTTTTTAGTTACACTGGATCCCTCTGATGGGAAAAAGTAGGCATAGAAATAAAATAAAATAAAATGACAATACCCATATTGTAAGGTAATTGTAACCAAAACCAGACCATCTGGTGCTTTTCCTTTTTTTAAAGGAGCTGACCATATTAAGTGAATTCAACATGCAGTTGGAACCTGTAGCAATTCAAATTCGCTGCCAGCTTTTCTATGAAGTTCACCACTGAACTGGAATTTACAAAAAAATATATAATGGGATTTACAAAATGGGATTTCTCCAGTGCTTTTTTCTTTCTTTCTTTTTTTCTTTTTTTGGCCAGTGCCCAACAGTGAATGTCTTCAGTTGTGCCAGATTAAATGAAGCTTCTGGCTCATCTTCATCTCAGAAGGAAACTGTACACAAAGGGGCGTTAGTACTTTCCCCACATAATGAGTACAGTCCGAAGAATCTTATATGTTTCACATATTCGGTATGCAGCTCAAGTCTTCTAGCAGCTGCAAAATCAAGAACACTACCACCCTTCCTGCAGGCTGAAGTAATTTATCATGATATGGGCTACAGAGACACTTTGGCAATGGTATACACCCATTCAAGAAGCAACGGGTATGGTTCCTAAAACATTTTTTTAAATGTGCCATTTTAAAGTATTCATTCCAAATACGCTCTAGAAGTTGCTTCCCACTTATGATGACCCTGTGAGAGAGTGATGTGTTCAGCGATTGTAAACTCAAGGCTGTGGCTTTCGTTAGGAAATCAATCCAGTCCCTTCTTGCATACATGAATGTCGGTCACGAGGGGGTTGAGAAGCCAAAAGCAATCCTGTCAAGAGGCTAGGCTCTGTTATGATCCTGGACTCCTAGAAGAGTCACCCAAGACAGAATACGAATAACCGAGGCATTGGACTCCACCTTCGTCAGGAATAATGGTGGCGTCAGCAAAAGAGAACGGATACCTCCAATGGTGATGCGGGTAAAGAAATAATCTGGAGGGCAACTCCTGAGCAGCAATGGCAGAGGATCTTTCACAGATGGTGGTAGGATGCTAAAAATATGGGACAAGTGTCATTCAGATTGGAGATTTTTGTGTGTGCATGCAGTCTTGCCAATGAACTACTTTTGAGGGGCTTTGAAAGTGTAACTAATTACTTCTGCAAATTAACTTGCAAGCTCTGGGCATGTAGGCAATGACTAGAGTGGAAAAAGAAACGAATAAAAGGGAAGGGCAGGAAGCAATGGCTCCAAGTGAGCAAGATGCTCTTAGGGTGACACCAGATTGTACCTTTATTGTGTTTTCTTGCTGAGATGCTTTCCCATGTGGTGAAAGGTACCAGTTTGCCAAAGCACCTGATCTTCTTCACTAAGGTATTTAGCATGTTTTGTTTTGTGATTAGCCATTGAAAAATAAAGACAGGCCTAATATGTAGGTCTGCTCACGGAGCCATGTAGTTCTGGGTAGATTTCATTGTGGCAAAGAAAAGCAAGTAAACTACCAGGAATACACACTAAACTTAATATCCAGTTTGAACATCTTCCTTGCTGCTATTAGTACTGCCCGTTTTCTTCCTCTCCCTGCTTGGGATCAAGTCACCAAACTACCTAGAGTGTGTGCAAAACCAGTGATGGTGGCTGCTCCATCTCCCTCTTGTCCCTCTTGGTCCGGCGAATGGGGATGTGCGGGGGGGGGGACTTCAGGATTTATTTTATTTCATAGCCTTTTATGGGGCTCCCTTTTTAGTTTTAGGTTCTTTTGGTAACAGGCCCTTTCGGGAAACCAAAAAGTACCACAGCCTTTTTTTGCTCTTTTTTTTCCTTTCAGATTTCCCCTTCTGGTTTCTAGTGCTAGACCCAATTAAGCCCTACAGAATCCTCAAAATAAGCCCAAAAAGCGGGGACAAGGCAAGAGAAAACCATCCACACCAAAATGGATAACAACAACTGTACAGGGGAAAAGTCAGTCATCCACAGACCTATGCAGGCATTCATAGTACGTATTTTAAAGTTCACATTTATCATCACATTCTCCTCTCCATTAATTCATCAGCATTAAATAATACAGATGAGAAAGAGAAATCATCATCATGATCCTAATCAAAATAAAACATACACAATTCACTAAGGGCAATATTATCACACCTTCCTAACTCGAAAATATGGGGAGGGGAGGCTTGGGGAGATTGCTCTCCCTTCTATTAGTTTGATAGCTTCAATCCAGCAGCACAGAAAGGCGTTCAACAGGGAAAGGCTGGGCAGCCAGGCACTCTAGGAAACAATAAAGGAAATGGGGGGACGGGGGGGGGGAATTCCTCCAAACAACAATGAAAAGTAAAATAACATAAAATAACAAAACAAAATAAAAGCAGGGCAATTTGGAATATGAAACATGGAAGAAATTCGTAATGTTTGTGAACCTTTCTTTCAAAATCCCAAATCTTTTGTATTTCACAGTCTATCTGTCATAAAGCCTAGACTCAAAGAAAGGGTCTCTTTGATGTTCTTCTCCATCTGGGTCAACGTGAAAGTCCCATCCCTAATGATGATCAGGTGGGATGGAGGAAAGCCAACAGCAAGGACTGAGCATCTTTTACTGACCACAGCACAGATTAGCATACATTTGCACATGTTAATTTATATTTATATGAACAAATTTAAGAATAACAAGTATGACTTAAACAGGAACTCAGTACCCCCCTTGCTGGAGAGGAAGACTGTCCAGGTGACGTGTGTACATGCTCAGTCTGCTGACCTGGGCTTTACTCTTGAGGCACAACATGTCCCTGCTCTCCTCTCTGGTTGGCAAGCTTTAAACAAGACAGTCCTGGAGAAAAAAGCCATTTTCAAATAGAAGACCATGATCCACAAGGCCAACATTTAGCTGTCTGAGTCAGAATATGAACCTTCCTGACCCAGACAAGAGGCATAATATCAAAGCTAGCAATATTATTTTGACACGTGACACCAAATCCCATTAGCACTCAGCCCATCCCTGAAGGTGAAAGTGTAAAAAAGGAAATAAAGCCACTAACCATTTCCTGCCTTTTCATGACACGCAATATCCACTGCCTGAGGTAGCCCCTTCATTCTGCCTCATGGGAGTAGCCCGGGGCCTCTAGCTGTCCTTGCAAGACAGAGCTAGTTGCTGTGAAGTAGGATGCTTGGCCAGCCGTCCTCTGATTTTGTGGGCAGGTAACCTGACCAGACATGGTTGAACAAAGCTTGAAGGACTGCAAAGGTTGATGGAAGACACTTGGAAGACACCGGAGTGTTGAGTCATATCTGTGCTGTTCCTTAGGTCATTTCGACACTCTTATATCATATTTATACCCTGGCTTCCCTCCCAAAGAATCTTTGGCAAAATAGTTCAATAAGGGTGCTCAGATACTGCTGTTACTCTTGTAAGAACTGGAGCTTCTGGGGAGAGAATTATGGTAAGCTGAGAAAAATAAACCAACTCCCAGGCCTTTTGATATGGTGGCAAAGACATTCAATACCACAGGAAGCTGTGTTTTGTCCTGCCTTCTTGGTGCATGAATCCATCTACATCTTTCATGTGATGGAATATATTGACCTATACACAGTTTTTAAAAAAATGTTAATTAAGAGATACAGTCCTATTAAAATCTGCACAATTGGTTTCAACAGTTTCCTTGAGGGATGATGTCTCCTTCTGAGTGGCAACTTTAGACACAATTTAGCCATTATCTATCTTAAGTGCATACTTTCAGATATTGGAAGTGACAATGAATAAAAGATTATGGAAGTAGATTCAATCTGGACAAAGTGGTTGTGAAAAATATGCATTAGAGCTATAGTACATGAAAATGCACTTCTTTGTGTGTAGGGGTTAAATCACATAAACAAATCAAGCCTTTCTGTGTTATGTG